TTGTCAACAGTGATGTCATGATTTCATATTTTTTAGATGTAAATTTTGTAGTAGGAGTCAATGGTCAATCTAAACAACCATTAGCTTTTCCAACAAATAATATTGCCACACCTTATATGTACAATTGCCAATTTCTATACAATTCACAAAAGATTGTATTTCCAATAGATTTATCAATGAGACAAAAATGATTGTAAATTGCCAAATAAAATGGCAATGAAATCCAGCAAGGCCTAAAAATGAGTGAACTTTAGAAGCATCTTTAGAAGTTGGCCAATCATCCACTACTTTCATCTTATCTTGCTTCATGTGCATGCCTTTAAAGGACACCATAAGTTTCAAAAATGTTACTTTTAACTTCCAAAGTTTATATTTTGATTGCTTGCAACAAAAATCATTATCTATTGTCGGCGCAACACTTGTCATAGGTGTTACTCATTCTCTTTAGGAGTTTTATTATATATGAGGATACCATCAATAAAAATAACTACATACTTGTCCAAAAAGTTCTAAAACAATTTATTTATGTGATCTATGAAAGAATTTTGAGCATTGGTGAGGCCAAAAGGTAAAACAAGCCATTCAAATTGTCCATAGTGCGTATGAAATGCCATCTTTTGTATATCCTCTGTTGCAATAGGTGTTTGCCAATAGCCACTTTGAAGATCCAATTTACTAAAGATATTCATACCTCAAAGTTCATCAAGAAGTTTATCTATGCATGAAAATAGATATGCATTCTTAACGGCTTACTTACTAAGGCCTCGATAGTTGATGCAAAGCCAAAGTCCACCATCCCTCTTAGGTGCAAAGAGTATAGATGCTCCCTATAGTGATGAGCTCTTTTGAAGTCATTCAAGCTTTGGAAGCTAGAATCATCAATTTTAGGATTTTAGATACAAATTGGATGCAAATTTTATGTGATTTGGAGTTTTAATGAAGGAGTTATTGGTGCTCAAAGTTAAGGTGTCAATTTCATATCTATTTTCACTCTTTGGGGCATAACATACGTTTACGGAGAACAAAAAAAGATTAAAAATTAGAATTAAAGAGAACACTTTCTCAAATATACTTTTCATATATTGTTTGATGAATTTGGAGTTTAAATGAAGAAGTTATAGACGGTTGAAGTCAAGGCATCCAAATCAAAGGCAATAAATAAGTGATTTTATTCATAGCAATGGTTAGAGCTATCTTGAGTTTTTGGATGAGTTTTTGGCTCAAATCTTTTGGAGAAGGTAGATTATTATGTCAAGAAGCTATACATATAAATTTTATGGCATTTAAATGCTTAGTTTGTGCGATATGAAGAAAATTGCATGTAGGTATATAAAAACTAAGATTTGAAGCTATTATTAGGGTTTTGGTGATATCTTAAGATCCGCAATAAATTTGTAGTTGAAATTTGTTGTGATAGTTGTTAGAAATACATCGGTATTTTTTGTAAAATTTGAGTAAGTTTGGACTGTTGGATCAAGAGATATGAAGTATTGAAGCTCGAGAAAATTTCTATGTAAGAGCATACAAGGTTTTATCATATATTTGGATGTTGTTGGTTACTTGAGGCTTATATATTTGGTGTAATTGCTCCAAAAAGGAAAAATTTATATATAAACTTAGGACTTCCCTTATTTTGGAGCTTGATTGAGCAATTAGTGGCAGTCAAGAGCCCAATGCTTTCCTGAGGTAAACTTTTTCTACTCGGACAACGAGCTGAGGCTCGTGAAGTTCATACCATAGATGCATCCATGGATGCAATTAGTATTGACGATTTAGAGGCTTATATGAATGACAAAACCTCTAATGATGAATCAAATAATGTACTCATTAATTTTGCAACAATACATACTATCTTGCAAGATAGACGATTTTTTATTGAAAAATCTTCAACTTGATAAACTAAAAATATGATGACCATGGTTGGAGAAAATGTGTTTCGTTTCTAAAAAGGAATAGTGATGGTAAAATTACTTGTGAATTTTATCATAAAATATAAACAAGGATTGTTTGCAGCCTTAGCACTTTGGAATCTGATTAGTAATTGAGATGTGCATATCAATGGTTATCACATCTCGATCACCATTTTAAACAAAAAAGAAGTTTTGGTTCTTATGAAGAATCATAAAGTTGTTGAAAAAGCTTTTGATATAGAAAATGGTTTAAATCAAATTACGATTTGACCTCCTATTATATTTAATTTTGCATCATCTATCATTAAGAGTCATGCTTCTCTTTGGCATGGACGATTGAGACATCTAAGATCTATAATATTTAGAAAGATTATTCTATGTATAATTGGCCACAATTTAAAGCTTGCAGATGTAGGCTCTATAGAATTATGTCATACATGCGTGCAAGGCAAGATGATTACTTGGCCTTGAATTTGGAAACTCCTATAAGAATTATCACCAATGCTTGAAAGGTTGCATGGTGATATTTGTGGTCCTATTAATCCAATATTGAGACCATTTCATTATTTTTTGGTCATTGTTAATGTATCAAGTAAACAATGACATATTTTATTATTATCAATCTAAAATATGGTATTTACCAATCTTATATCTATTCTTATTTGTTTTCAGGCATATTTTCTTGATTATTCTATAAAAGAACTACGTATGGATAATGCAAAAGAATTTATATCAAAGACTTTTGAAGACTATTGTATTGCAATAGAAATTGAGTTGACATATTGTATTCTATATGAACATGCTCAAAATAGACTTGCAAAGTCATTTATAAAGCGTATATAATTCATTAGTTGACCAATCCTCCTTCACGTAAATTTACCTACATTTATGTGGGTAAATGCAATTTTATATGATGCAGCATTAGTACACCTTTGTCCTTCTTTTCTCGAAATTGTTTCACCACATGAGCTCATTTTGAGTCGTGTTTCAAATATGTCTCATTTACGAGTATTTGGTTGCCGTGTTTGGATTCTAATAATAGAACTTTAAGAACATACCATTGGAGCTCATTGACAAGAAGGCATATATGTTGGTTTTGATTCACCAAACATTATTTGTATTGTTGATCCATCAACTGGAACATTATTACATGCACATTTGCAAAATTGTCATTTTGAAGAAAATATATTTCCATCTCTTTAAAGAGGAGTATCCAATCAATAAAGAAATAAAGTACTTGTATTTGAAGCACCGAAAATGTTTACAATGAATCTCGATCCTAGAACATCTTTGGCTGAAATTGAAGTTGCTAAGATTTTGCATCTAAAACGGATTGCAAATAAAATACTTGATGGTTTCAATGATGTAGCTAGGATTACAAGAGTTCCTATTAATGAGGCTTAGAATGCACATGCTCAAATTGTAGTGCCACTGACTATAATACCTCAAGTTATAATAACAACAATTAAAAGAACTCATGGACCAAATAAGCAATCACATAAGAAAAAAGCTATAATATTGACTAATCCTAGTATTATTTCTCAAGAAATTTCCACTCATCTTGTAGAACCACAAATTCATGATGATATATCCATACATAATGTACCTTCAATTCCTGTGAAAAACAATCTTGGAATTAGAAGGAATAAGTTGAAGTTGACTAAAGAATTATCTATTTTATATTGTGCTATAGGCAATATTTAGAATGAACCATCTATTACGATAGATGAAACATTTGCATATATGATTATAAAAGCTCTTTCTTACAAGGAAGACAATCTTGAACCTCAAACCATCAAGGAAGGGATGCATCACTCTGACTAGTTAAAATGAAAAAGTGCCATCAAAGAAGAATATGCTTCTTTGCATAAGAGGAAAGTCTTTGGTCCAATTGTGGTTCAATTGATGGTTACGATTCATACCGTCCGTGCAAGGAAGAAGAAGAAATATTAGGAGAGCAATATCCATACTTCATAGTAATTCGAGCACTTTTATATTTAGCCACATCTACTAGACCAGATATTACATTTGCAGTTAGTATTCTTGCAAGACACAGTGCATGTCCAACACTGCGACATTGAAATGGAGTCAAATATTTACTACGTTATTTAAAAGATACTGAAGACTTAGGATTATACTATTTACAATGTGTAAATCCAAAATTGGTCAGATATTGTAATGTAGGATATAAATCTCAAATATGATATGTATTTTTAAGACATGCAGCTACAATATCATGGAAATCAATAAAACAAATTATAACTGTCACTTCATTCAACCATACAAAAATTATTGCCTTACATGAGGTATCTCATGAATGTATTTGATTGCAATCAATTCATAAACTCATTCAAATAACCTGTGGATTTTCATATGATGATTCTCCAACTATCTTGTATGAAGATAATAGTGCTTGTATTGCACAGATGCAAATTGGTTTCATTAAAGAAGACAAGACAAAGCATATTGGTTTAAAGTATTTTAGTTATATCCATGACTTGATTACTGATCAAGCACTTATAATTAAAAAATTTGAATATGCAAATAACCTTGCTGATCTCTCCACCAAAACTCTTCCTTTGTGCAACCATCGCCAACTTACTTATGGCATTAGTATTCGACAACTTACTTTTCTTAAATAAGAAAGTTAATGAACTCTTTAAATAATTAGAAAAAATGATATTGTACTCTTTTTCCTTCATCTATGGTTTTGCCCTTAAATATTATAAGGTTTTCTTAGATAAGGTTTTAATGAGACAACAATTGTTGATTTTGCAAAATTACAAAAAAGTATAGATCATAATTCTATATAAATTTTATATTATGTGAATATTATGATGAGCGAGGAGGAGTGTTGAGAGCATTAAATGTAGCTGGTGCTCTCCATAATATTTATTGTAGTCTATAGTAAATACTATAATTATAGTATTTAGAATTATAGCAGAGAGAAACTGTTTCTCCCCTTCTCCTTTTGTATACGAGACACAATCAGATCAATAGATTTTGTGAGAAGCTCTGTAAAGAGCGTCAAGTTGAGAGGGCGTGGCCCATGGCATTGAATCTCCGATGCTGCCGTCGAGGTTTCGGAGAAGCCATTGCCGATTGCTCGCATCCTTCCTTCATTCCGCGAGCGAGCGAGTTCGCAACTCTCGCCACGCGGGATGGCTGCTTCGTCGCCCACACGACTTAGCTATAACGAGGAGGGGAATCACGTGCCAAACTTGACGGATCCAATTCACATGGCCAATCCTTTCGCTGCCGATGCGATTCAGTCTTTGCCGATTGCCAAGCGGCTACAGGAGCCTTTCCTCGGAGTTCGCCATGCAATCCGCCCGCGTGGGTGGGGATGGCCCCACAGTGATTTTCATGGCTCCGTCGCGTCGCCAGGCCCGCTCGAATCTAAAGTTCGAATGTGTCTTGGATGGGGCTCTCGGCAGGGATCCTTCTCGGAACTCCCCTCGCGAGTTGTCGGAGATCCCGGTTGTTGGTGGTTGACTTGGAGGATGTGAATATTCTTTGGTGGGTTTGTCTGATTCTTGCGTGCAACTGCGGAGACCTGTTCGCGTTTTAGAGTGGTACATGGTGGTGGTGGTGTGTGTTCAACGCTGGTTTGGCTCGTCTTACCCCTTGGTTGCGCTTGCCAGAGATGGGGACTGCATTGCGTGGACCGATGCTGGAAGTCTCATAGTAAGGTGGGAAGTCGTTCTCGGTGTCGGTGTCGGTGTCGCGTGCGCTTTAGCCTGTGTCGTGCGGATTTTGACCACTGAGCTCATTCAATATCATCTCCCCCCTGCTGAAACGGGAGTTTAGAATTGGTGTTGTTGGATGAGAGGCGTAGTGTTGTGTTCGGAACATTTAGGGTTTGAGAGTGGGATTTGTACCCAGAGGAGCGTAGTGGACGTGGAATGATGTGTTGCCTGCTTAATGTCCCATCCGATCAATGCTAATGCACTTGTTCCCTGCATTTTGGTGTTTCTCATAGGAGATAAGGGCAGAGTATCGTACAGATGGAGGATTTAGTGGATGCTTCCACGACGTTGGTTTCATTGCCAATCCCGAGTGCATCAAATTGTTGTAGTGCATTTGGTTGCTTGTCCTATTTCTTTGCGGGAGTCTTGGTGCTAGCACTTGTAGAGTTTGTATGTGTATTTTATTTTAGCTTATTATTGTCGGCGAAACCGGCGCAAAATCCGAACCCTGCCTCCTCTTTGAAATGTGCAAGTGAAGGTGGCGTCAGCACTTTCAGCCTTCAGGTCATGTTTCTCTTACTCTGACATCGAACGTGAATTAGGACCGCGCAAGTTGATGCTCCTAGTCCCTGCGCAGGAATCTCCTTTGAACCTGTTGTTGGTTAGATTTGATGGTTGTATCTCCCCCCCAAAAAACTGTATCCTGTCTTGTAGATGCAAACCTGAGGCTTCAACGGAAACTAAATGGCACGCTGTAGCACATCAAGGTGCCAGTGGATTGACGTTCCAGAATATTAATGCCTTCTTATGACGAATCCTAGTTTCAAGCTTGGTTAGATTACGCGTTTATCATTTTTGTTGTATCGAATTGAACACTCTTTCTGTATCTACTGAAGATTAGTATTACTCTCATGGGTAGGTTTCATTTTCCATGGCAGATAATGGATTTGTTGTTATGAATAATAAATTCGTTATTTTTTTACAAGTGTTCAGCTGCGAAAGGTGTTCCCGTTTGAAAGAGTTGTATAGTGTGGAAGAATTTCTTGTAAATTTGCTAAACTCCTTTTCTGAGACGACATCAAACTATCCTGCAGGGAAATTTGTGGGTTGCACCTCTACCAGAAGGAGATTGGAACAAGGTTTCGTTGCAGAAGCCAGGCAAAGACAAGGAGATAGAAACTGAGAAAGATGAGCCCAAAGAGAGTTTGAAGCGGGGGGTTGCCACTAAAGGCGTACTGAAGATCGCTCCAGTGCAGAGGCATGCCGTCTTGAAACAAGGGGTTTTACTGTTGAAGGGAGCCGATGGTAGAGAGGAGCAAATTGCGCTTGAAGGCTGCGAAGTTTTGTCCATCTCAGCTGATTCAACTCCTGGTGGGAAATGGTGTGTGCTCACAAGCTTTCATTCTGTTCTGTAAGGGTTAGGAAAGTTAAATTTAACTAATTGCTAATGTCTCGATGTTTAAGTTTTAAGTCATGTGATGAAGGGTCAAATGTCCATGTGATAATGAATGATCTCCTCCCGACTGTATAGCGCTATTCATTTATCTCACGTGATTTCAGTTTATCTTCCTATGTTCTTCAAGAAGATAATTTGTAGATTTTCGTGGCTTGGAAACTTCAAATGTAGGGCGAAAACGTTTCCCATCAAGTTGCACCATCCTACTCGCACATTGTATGGCGAATGCAAGGGCTGTGTATTCTACGCAGAATCTGGCTTTGAGAAAGAAACCTGGTGCGAAGTTCTTCGAGCAAATGCAAAACATCCTATGTGGTTAATCCACCTTAAGAAAGAATTTAGGGAATACACTGATAGAGCTGAAAAGCGTGTGCCTTATCTAAACAGATTCCACTCAGGAAGAGATTCAGACCGTCTGCTTGTCACGCGTAAGGAAGAGAAACTAAATGACTTCAAAAACTCAGAAGATAGTCCGTCAAAGAAACGATTGATTTTGAAAAGAATTTTGCGGTGTGGTACAAAGTCGAAAGAGAAAATCTCAAATGATATAGAGGAACTTGAAAATTCCACCAGAAGAAACAACCAACTTTCACGAGAGCCAGAAGAAGGAAGTAGCCGGAGTGTGAAGGAAAATGTTATCTCCGGTGACCACGATGATAGCAAAAGTGCATCATGTGCAAGCATTGAGAGCATTACACGAAGTGAATCTACATCCAGCGAAAGTGATGCGGAGAGGTCTGTCTTAGGAGTAACCCAGAACGACAAGAAAAAAGTCAAGGAGGTGCTTGCAGCTACCCTGATGCATGGCAATGACAACGGAATGGTTATGAAGGAAATTGATCAAGGACAACTCTGTTTAAATATGATCGTGGCTAGACTCTTTTTTGACTTTTACCATAGCAACACACGAGAGGAATGGACACAACACCAATTTAAGGCAAGTCTTACCATTTAGTCATCTGCTATCTTGTAGACTATGCTTGTCTGATAGAGTTGTACTTGACAAGTTGATAGTCAACCTCACCCTGGTTTATGCAACTCTTCAGGAGTTGATATCTGGGATGGAAACTCCCAGCTATATCAAATCGATTACTGGCAAAGAGTTTGATCTTGGAAAAGAACCTCCTTTCGCAACCGCATTCCGCATGCTGCCCGCGGATGCGCGTGGGACTTTGACTATGGAAGTTGACCTGGAATGGCATGGTGGATGTTTCATCACAATTGAGACACGAGTAGATGCGCGAGCCCAAAAGGCCCGGGAGAAAATGGCTTCGCACCCGGCGGAATCAGGGTCAACAGGGGATGCTGCTGTGGCCCTTGAATCAAGCATAGGGGAGGTTCTTGGGACTACAGAGTTATCAGAGGTTTCTTCAACATTGATGGATGCAAGGCAAATTTCCGCCTCTAAAACAACTGGCACAGGTACCGAAACCTTTTTGAGGTTTAAAGTATACACTTCTCCCTTGGAAATATAGAGAAATTGAAGACCTGGTGGAAACTGGGACATGACCTCCTGTCGATTATAGTACTTTTCAATAAGCGCTTCAGGTTCTGCAACTGTTGACAGGTGATGACAGCAGTAAAAGGGGAGGTTGGATGCACTCGGTGAAGGCCATGATTTCTCACGTTGCTGATCAAGTTTCTCAGGTTTTTGGAGTTCTTGCTTTGGGTCTTACATTTTCATTTGTTTTTGTTTTAATATTTTGCTATGGACAGCTGGGTCGTGCTTTGAAATGTTTAAAATTTTCTGATTTCTTCCAATGGGATGTGAATGGCAGGTGGCTTTTTTATTGAAAATCAGGTTGGTTTCAGTGAAGGGAACTTGTATTATCAGCTTGAAAGCACCACCTTCTGACCGCTTATGGTTTTCTTTCAAGGAGATGCCTGATATTGATCTGGTACCGGAACAAGGTATTAATGAACGCCAATTTAAGAATGGGTGTCTTGGGAATTTTATTGCCAATCAAATAAAGGTATCACTGAAGCCTTCCTTTCTGTTTATTTCCGCACCAAAGTGGACTCTATCTTCTCTGCATCTTCTCAGTCTCTTTAAATTCTAAAATGAGGGAAATTCAAGAGTTTCTCAGCGATTATTTTGGTAAATTCATGGTTCCTCTGTTCAAATTGCGAGTTTTTTATGATTTTGGATATGGATAATAGTTTTCTGTTTGATTTACTAGATGTGGTACGCTCTGTTCCGTTGATCACTAGCTCTTATTGGTTCAGTACATGTTGAACGGCATATAATTTCATACTTGATCAGGTTGATTAGTTCCATACTTGAATATAAAATTCCATATGCAGGTACAAATTCGGGAGAAAATTGTCATGCCGCACTATCAAGAACTATTTCTTAATTGGATGATGGGTGATAAAGATGATTGGCTTCCGCGTAGCGCCTTTCCTGTTGCGTTCTCTGCTGTGCAACACTCTGACAATGAACGCCAAAACTCAAAAAACGATAATGATATGCAATCTAGCCCTGTTGAAGAGAAGAATAAAAGTGGCCAAACGCATTCTCGCTCTCTGAACGCCGACAATAACAGACAGGATAAGCCTGAAATTCGTCAGGTTTTTCAGCAATCTGGATTGCCTTGTATTGGATCCCCATACGGACCGCCTATTACACTGGCCCAGCCCCCTACTAATCCTCAGTCCTTTAATAATTCTCAAACCTCTGGAATGAGTCGGGGCCAATCACGAAAGTCTGCCATCTCAGAACAGTCCAGCTCAGAGCATTCCTTACCTGTGCAGCCACCAGGAGCATCCGAGCCTTCATCAGCAACTTTGTCAACAATAAAAGGAAAAGAGTCCGACTCAAAGAAACCTTCATTTGATACCGATGACCGCAGTAGAGGTAACTCTTTGGAGCTGAATCGTGAATTTTTCGCTGATGTATCTGAGAGAGCTGTAGGTGCTGCATACAATGATTACTTGCAACAGTCAGAGGGCTCTGCTTTAAAGAGCGAGTCACATCATCTGCCCAATCAGGTTAGTTCCTTAACTACTCATAGACTGAGAGTATCAGTTAACTGTAATTTTTTCGACCAATGTAGGCAGATCAGCCTCTCATCACCTCCGATTGTTCCTATGAGTGTTGGACTAAGCTCTTTTGCGTAATGCGACCTCCTTGCCCTACATATTCTATATTGGCTATCGAACATTGTTACTAAATCCGACACTACTTCCTGATGCAATTGCAGGTAGCCAACCAGGAACACAGTGAGGTAGAGCCGTCGAAAGGTTCGGATTCGAGAGTATCACGACGCGCCAAAATGCTCAATTTTGGTAAGAAGGTCGGGAGCAAGGTTGATGAACGGCGCCGCATCGTTGTGGAGAAATTGCGGGAGAAGATAGCTGAAGGTAGTGAAGATGGATCTCCTCGCCACCCAGGCAGCGGTCGTAAGTGAGGTACTACAACGTGATCTATTTTATACACGTGATGCTCAAGTTTGATCCTTCAATTTCTCCATGCGTCAGCAATCGTGTAGTCTTCATGTAGAGTATGATACTAATTTACGAAATTGTAAGTTAATATTTTTGGGTAGCTAATGTGAACTAGCGTGTAGTAGAAATTCAGAGTGGAAGCGTGGCGAATGGAATCCATGCTCATCCAAGCGTGTTTGATTCGCAGAGCTCATTTTTCCTAGGATTGTACCTGGGAACAGGTAATGCCTATTCAATTGTTACCACTGACGACTTCTTTACCCTCTTGTAGGCCAGACCTGGTACTTCTTCTTTTCTCTAAGCTTCGAGGCGTCACAACCAGACTGATGAAGACCCTTGGACTCCCCTCTTCCCAGTAAACACTACAAAATTCCACTCATAAAGTTGAAAAACATTTTTTATTTTATTTTTAAAAAAAGATAGAAAAATTAAAGCACGTCAATTGGAATACCTCGTCTGACAAGAGGTTGCAATCAGCCACCACACGATCCATAACATCTAAAGCTACCTGCAAGGTATGAAAGTGGTACATGTAAATGTACATCAAAAGTTGTTGGGTGTTACTACGTTAGTTGAGACGGTGCTGCTTGTATTTTAGTTACAAACAGGAACTATGGTATGAGTGAAATTTTAGTCAAGTCCCAGTTGTGTGAAGCTGCAGCAGAGTGAAAGAAAAGAGCCATGGCATTCAATACGATGAATAAATAATATTGAGCCACCTATTCATTCAAGTCAGCCAATTGAAATCCTTGTGATGGAGGTGAATATATCTACGATTGATTCATTATATTCATGTAGAAATGATTCTATTTTACAATCAAATTTAATGTATTTAAAAGTTTTAATTTTAATCTTCTATATTGTCATAACTTGTTTATGGAGTTTGGTCCAATGAGTTCTGAAAAGCAATCATAACTACTAATTACTCCCAAAATCATTCTTCAAGATATTGACTTTTATGTTCCATCTGATAGTATATTATCTAACACCAAACTAGTGGATGAGAATATAGCTTAATTTGGATATTATTTTTCTTAAAGAGTATATATAGAGACACATCAAAATAAGATACAAAATAACGTTAACTTTAAAAAAATTCTTACAATGTATCTAAAAAGTAATTACACTACATTCCAAGATAAAACTAGGAGAAATAGTTCAAATATATATGTAAATATAAATATATATCTCTTGGTAATTCGTATTTACAAACCAAATTATTTTTACATACTTAATTAAACATAAAATCATCAAATACTTATTAAGTATTTTAAAATCAAACTAAAATAATCATTATTTTATTTTATTTTTTGCAAAGAAAATGTAATTATGATTTTTCATAGCTGGTAATTTAAAATATTAATATTTCAATAGTTTTTGTTTGACTTAAACTAATGTGTTGAAGTAGGTTTATCCAAGAAAATTAAATTATAATTGCTAAGTAGAATAAAATATATACAAAAAATGTAAATCACAAAAGATTTATTATGTATATATTTTATTTTTTGTATTTTATCACGAATTAATAGTCAAATGAAACACACATGAGATTTTCTTAAATTTTCATTTTCATTTTCATCTTCATTTTATTTTATGTTTTTTATTTAATTTTTTATTATGGTTTATGAATATGCCTGAAATGTATGTTTTTGAGTTTGAAAATGTAGCACAAATGCTATTTTTTCAGTGTGACTTTGAGAAATTGTCACTAAAACGTCATTGCTTAGATGTTTTTAAAAATTCCCATGATGCCGTCTTAGAGATTGTTGTTGTTTGTAATAGTATTTGTTTTACTGTTTAAATAACATGAGTGTGTCTGTGTGCAGTTTCACAGGAGGAGAGACAGGCATGGCCATCTGCAGGAATGATCCCTCCTCAGATGGAGCTTCACAGTAGGTCCACCTGACAAGACTATAGCATTACTCCCATTATCAGTGAGTCTTCTGCCAACTTCATTCAGCGTCTTGTGGATGATGCCAGGCACAGAGGAGCAAATTCCATCAGATCCATAACAAATGATTCCCCCACCCCCTTCCCCCTCAACTCCAACTTATTGTCTTTGAAGTTGCTAATTTTGTTGCAACATTTTTGCAATAGATTCCAAATCATTTCAGGTGTAGGGTTTCTGCAGCTCTTGCCATGTAGCACTTTCCTGAATTTATTGGAGAGGGAAACTGGGTTGCATGTAGCAGTTTCTGTGCTACCCCTCTCATTGCTTCATCAGTTTTGTAATTATCAACCAGGTACATATGTTGTTGTTTGAAGATATTATGAACATTTATACTTAACAAGGACAAAAAAAGGAGAAGATAAAGAACTTAAAATATAAAAATAAAAACAAAAAAACACACGACAACAACAATAAAGGTTGTGTATATAAGACCAAAGGAAAATCAATCAATCAATCAATCTATTAAAACTGTAGAATTAAACAGAGTAGGAAAATGAAGAAGATGTAGAATGTCAATGATGGTTGAAAGCGTTGTTGTGGTGGTAGTGGTGATGGGTGTTTGTGTGGGTGGTGTTGTTATTTTAGGGGTTGAGGGACACTGGTATTGGGTCTCAAGGCACCACCAACAGTATCAACACGATGACCCAAAACCTAAAACACTGTCATCAACCTCCCTGTTGAATCCTACACCATGAAATGAGTTGGAGGTTGAGAAAAATAAAATTACCAAAACAAAAAAAAAAACCATGTGGCATAACTCATAGCTCCAGTTGAGCAGCATTTGTTTCCCAATATTCTGGCCTTTCCACTCTATGTCTGTCTAAAGGATATGACCAGAGAGACAGTAAACCAGTCATCGACGCAATAATCTTTGTAACCCATAAGTGTTCGTTTCATCTATTCCGTCGAGGGTTTCAAGCACACCACCCATCCATCGCCCTCGTCGCGAAACCCTCGCAGCCGTATGCCCTCTCCTCTCTTCGAATTGCTCGAATCTGCCCTTACATACTCGCCGTGACATCGCTGTGCCGCATGCAATGTCGTGACAGCGAGGCGCCGCTGATGGTTGGTAGGTAATCTTGTGGTTCCCTCCACCGCGGTCATCGGCATCAAATGAAGGTTTTTTTGAGTCGGACTCTTTTCCTTTTATTGTTGACAAAGTTGCTGGTGAAGGCTCGGATGCTCCTGGTGGCTGCACAGGTAAGGAATGCTCTGAGCTGGACTGTTCTGAGATGGCAGACTTTCGTGATTGGCCCCGACTCATTCCAGAGGTTTGAGAATTATTAAAGGACTGAGGATTAGTAGGGGGCTGGGCCAGTGTAATAGGCGATCCGTATGGGGATCTAATACAAGGCAATCCAGATTGCTGAAAAACCTGACGAATTTCAGGCTTATCCTGTCTGTTATTGTCGGCGTTCAGAGGGCGAGAATGTGTTTGGCCACTTTTATTCTTCTCTTCAACAGGGCTAGATTGCATATCATTATCGTTTTGTGGTTCAGAGGTTGTTACGATGGCTTTCTATGTTTCGAATATAGTGCTCGAGGTGATGCTCGGAAGCCAGACAATGGGTTTGATCATCGGCACAACCAAATTGCATAAGCTCATGCTTCATGTATCCCATGCAAGCGCGTGAACAATCAAATGGTTTTGGGTTTTTATGAAGATTGCATTTTGTGGATACTGTAACTTATGATGTCCGTCTAGCTAAAGTCCGAATTATTTGCAAGGGAGTTGGGCTGTATGTTGCGTTGATACGTACTCAGTATTTGTTTGTTGGTTTGTTCTTTTTGAAATTTCGGTTTCAGGGATGAAGATTGACAAGAAAATGACTGCGCATTGAACACCATATCATTATTGTATTCTCGCCTGCCTTGTGTGCATTCGAATTGCGAGTTAGGAGCCGATCTGAATGATTTTATGGACGGAAGAGTCCTTCAAGCTGGAATATGGTGAGCACATCTTCAAACTTGTTCGCCTACGAAGATTCTTAGTCCATTTTGAGGTTTGAGCTTTCTTTGAGTCTCAGTTGCAATTTCTGTGTGTCATATACCTTGAAGAGAGACTCAACTTTCTCAAGAGAAGATCTGACTTGGAGCCCTTTCACTGTAGGTAATACTTAACTTTAGTGGCGGATCGCATCTACTTTATAATCAATCGTGAAAGAGCTGGTGTTCATTTTGATATACTATATGAGTACATATTTCAACGGTGTAGAAAGCCAATTAAACCCTCATAAAAATCTTCTTGAGTTACATTTATTTTTCATCACCAGACATGCGCAGTGTATGTCGTAAACTCAAATGTAGTATGCATTGAAAATGTTCCTCATGTGGGTAAATCACAGTCCTGTTATGCTGTTCACATATTGATTTACCCTCGTGTTGGGATTACTTGAGCCATTTAGCAGACGATAAGACATTCATATTCAATTTATTTGATGGAACTCCTATTATTATCTGCATAGTAGAAGTGTCGTCATTTCTTTCTTTTTATTAGAATTTTAATTTGCTGCAAACTTGCAGCCATTTGTTGCAAAGCTTGAATTTTTTACAGATTGATTACATTAGTTGTGTCATTGGTATAATGAGTGATTAAGGAAATACAAAGGATTGGAGAAATAAGCTACTAAGCTTAACAAGAGGAGATGACAATTTCAACGTAGTTTCATGGCATATCACATTTATGAAATAATTTGAACAATCGGCATTATGAGATAATTATTGAAATATGATGGTGCTATGAGAAAATATCTAGTTCGATGTTTATAAAAGATATGAAGCAGTTTCGTTTGTTTGAATAAAATTTACTGGAAGATTGATACTTAAATTAGTTTTATTAATATTTATATTGTCTTTGTGTGAATGTTTTGTTGTAATCAAACAATACTTTAAGAATCTATGGTTACTTGAAAAAATAAAGGAATATACTCAAGCATCAAATGCTAGTTATTATTTTTGTAAAGATGATGAGATATTTGAAATGAATGTTTATATATTGTTTTGTTTGTATGTGTGTTATATATAAAATAATGAGAGATAATACAAAGTTATTAAAAAAATTACAAATATAGTTGGAGATTTATTTTGTTGCATTGAATATTTTTTTTGGTATTCAAAATTTATTGAAATGTTGTACAATGTGTAATAAGGTTCTATTCATGTGATTGAAGGCAAATTACACATATTATTTAAATATTTATTATGGCTTATTCTATGAAGTTATTTATGAAGTATGTTTCAATAATAGGGAGGTTTTTATTTGCTTGTTGTACATTGGAATTTGCAATTGTTATGGAATTTTGTAACAAGTTTGTTAAGAGTATTGGAGTTGTATTCAAAATAAGAAAAGTTGATATAGGAGATGTGCTTGTTTAATGCCACAATTACAATCAAGAAATTGAGGTATTATTAAAGACTAAAGTCTTTTTGAATAGAAAACAATGTGAAAATATTTGCAAACCACTTGGCCATGTTATCAAAGTATTTGAAGGCTTGAAAGCTTGTAACAATGAAAGAGGTGAATATAAAATTTTATTTTGTGAATTTCAATATACAACATTAAAGATAAACATGTTGATAAAAGATTGTGTTGAAGAACATTGGTGTGAAGCAAATATCTTTCAAATGGAAAACAGAGAAATATTTAGAGAGTTATTGTGGGACTTAGAGACTTGTTATGAATGTGGAAATTGATCTACTTTCAAAAGAGTGCCTAAAAAAGTTGAAAGATAGTATATCAATATTATTTGATGTTTCTACCTATGAAGAAGTTAAACATGATGGT